CTGGGGAGACATGCTCTAGTGTGAGGTGTCCAAGCCCATGGCAGGGGGTTGGAACTGGATGATCTTATGGTCCTTTCCAACCCAAACCATTCTGTGATTCTATGACAAGAAGGGCTCCTATTAGTACATAGGTAACAAAAGGAAGACAAAGGAAAATGTGAGCCTGTTGCTCAGTGAGATAGGATACTTGGTTATGCAGGACATGGAGAAGGCTGAACTACCAAATGCCCTTTTTTTTGCCTAGTCTTTACTAGTGAGGCCAGGATTCAGGAATCCCAGGTGGCAGAGACCAGGGGAAAAGGCTGGAGTAAGGAAGATGTACCCTTGGTGGAAGAGAATCATTTAAGAGATCAGGGAATACTTGAGCAAACTGGACATATATAGGTTCATGGACCATGATGGGATGCACTCTGCGAGGTGACTCTGGATAATCTTTGGCTGATCATGGTGACAGGGAGAAATGCCTGAAGGCTGGAGGGATGTCACTGTACAATTAGGTGCTAAGGACTACCAGGCTGGAAAGCAACATGGCAGAGAATGATGTAGGGGAGATGGCAGTAAGCTTTCTTCTCTGTGGTTGAAGTGGATGTGGAGACCCTTCACTGCTGGTGATAAGGTCACTGAAAACTCTTCTGTTCCTTCCTTAGACCAGCACTGTACCTTGCATGTGGATGGAGAGAGCAGGTTATCCCCTCTGTGTAGTGCCTGCAGGAAGAACAGCAGCTGGCCATTCCCAGTGAACCCCAAGAAGTTTGGGCAGTGCATTGAGTCAGTCCTAGGTCTGGCTCCCACATACATCCCTGTGAATCAACAGACTTTTCCAGAAGACACCTGGACTAAACTAGTGGGAAGGTAGAGTTACTGTATTCCTTCTGCCTGGGTATCTCACGGATATGTTGAAAGCTGTTATAAAATAACCTTCCATGTTTTAGTGTTTCTTCTCTTTGATCCAGCCTGTTTTGTGTGCCTTGGCTTTAATCGCTGCCTTGCTTCACTTAGCCTCAGTCCTTCATCTTCTTACACGTGGCAGTTTTCTTGGGTGTTTTCTGTATCAAAGCTCTCCTCTGTTAAAATCTCATTCTTTGCTATGAGCTGATAGTACCAGGCAAAAGTATTTGCAATGTAACTTTCTAGTGTGAGGGCAGTGTAGGAAAATGGAGCTCTTGAAAGAAGGCAGGAAATAGAGCAAAGGGTTGGATCCTCACAGACCTAACACTGCAAAACTGAACCCTTCCCTCGAAAAGCAGCAGACTTGCCTCCTGCAGCAGCATGTGGGAGGGGAACACTGTGCAAAGAGCCACTGATGCCAGTCAGGTGCTGCAGGATGCACAGTACATGGTGCAGCACAATGGAGCACCAATAGTACTCTCTTCCCTAAGAAACCAACTGAATTCTGGAGAGAATTCATGTGGTTTTCAGTTTGGGTGGGGGGAGCTAACTCATAGCCAGCAGAATCTCTTACCTTACAGCTGTTGTTAAGTTTTGTAGGAGCAGAAGCACTAAAGCCTGTGTATTGCCAGGCAATGTACTCAGACATAACATGGGGTAGTAGCTGCACTTTCTAACAGAGGAAAAAGATAGAAAGGTTGGGAGTGGAGAACGAAGCAGGAAGGTGATTGGCCTAAAATCGTGCAGCTGGTTTGTGGCTGAGCTCGATGTGTTTGTTTCTGACCAGTACTTCATACTTGCTGTGCCTCTCATGTTTGGTCATAACCTGTTCTCCTGATGGTACAGCAGTGGAGAGAGGTAGACACTAACTCCTGCTTCTTTTTTTGTCCAGGTTAAGTCATATTTCCTGACATTTGAAGAGCAAACAGCACCAGGGCTCCATGAATTGCGGAACTGGAGCAAGCGTGGCAGCCCTACCTACCTCCAGCTTTACTCCTCTGCTGTGACATTCTTCTTGGGACCCTTGGTTTCATCAGCCCGGCTGCTCAGCAGCCTGCCTCGGCATCAGAGCAGAGGAGGCAGCTGGTGGATCAGAGAGAACCATGGCCTTGAGCTTCTATGTCTTTCACCTCTTCTATAAGTTCAAAGTGTTGGTGCTTGTCACTTTGTGTTTGATGGTGCTATGGGCCACAGTCAGTTACTATGTGGACTCCAGACAGGAAATTCCTAAAGCTAAGAGCATGGTGGAGGATTTCAGGAAGGTGACTAGCCTGGAGGACAGGCAGAAGCAAGAGAAGATGGAATCAGTTGCAGAAGTTCCCACAGTGAAATCACTTCAGGATGAGTGCCCAGCTCTGTCTCCGTACCTGAGTAAGTGATGCTGCTTTCCTGCCCTTTCTCACAAGTTACACCTGCTTTACAATTGCTGATTGGTTTTCTTCCTAGTGTTTTACAGTTGGACACTTTCCCTGTGAAACAAATACAACACAACCAGTCCCAGTGAGCACTTCTGGGTGAGGAAGTGACTTATGTGCTGGGTCTGGCTGGGACAGCAGCCCATATGGTGTGGTGCTTTGCATTTGTGGCTCAAACAGCTTTAGTAACACACCAGTGACTTGGCTACTGCTGAAAAGTGTGTGCACAATGTTGAGGCTTTGTCTCTATCTTGGCCTCCTAACATTTGGTAGGTTGGTGGTGAGCAAGAGGTTGGGAGTGTATGCAGCAAAGGGATATTCCATACAACATGAACATACCATTTACCATGCTCAGCAATAAAAGCTCAGGGAAAGGAGGAAGGGGGGGTGTTCATGGTTGCAGTGTTTATCTTCCCCAACAACTCTTTCTTTTGGTCTTGGGATTGCTGGCAGCACCAGACTTCTGCATTGTGGTATCGTGTCACTGTCACCTTCCTCTTCTTTTTGCGGACCTGATTAGGGATTTGTTTAGGAAGCTGGATTCTTCCCTCTTCCCCAATGTAGTCCAAAAAGCTGCTGTCTCACTGCACACTCCCGTCCCCGCCCCAAACGTGTTTGCCTATGTGAAAGCACTGCAGCTGTAGCCATCACGGTGCCTTGTGTTGTTCTCTTCAGTGGGTTTGCTGAGCCCAAAGGGGATGAAATGATAGCTCAGTGCAAGAGAAGTGATGAAAATCTGGCTACAGGAAGCCTTGGTATGTTTTATCTTACAGATGTATAACCTAAAGCCTGTAATGGTTTTTGTTCATGCTTTAAGTAGAGATGGCTTTTCATGGCCACAGTCATATGTCTCTTTCCATTTCCATTTCCTCTGCTTTGCTCTGGCAGCTGTTTCCAGCCAATTCTCCTGCCATAGGAACTTCTTCTGATTTCTTTTTAGTTATTATTATTTTTTATCATCACTGCTCTATAATGAGTTTAAGCAACTAAACACTTGATACCCTCTCCTTCCACTGCCTGCATAATACCCTTGTGGCACTACTTTTCTCTGGGAAAGGCAGGGAAATCAACTGGGGCTTCATCCTGGGTTTCTTATGCTGTTACAGAGTGCCCCATTTGGACTAGCCACAGTCAGAAATAACTGGGGAAAGCTTCTTGTGCTTCTCCTACAGTTGGTGCCAGCAAACTCACCTTCAAAGCATCACTCACACTGGAAGAAGTGCAAAAGGAGAACCCTCAGGTAGCCAAGGGCCGGTACCACCCCCCAGAGTGCTCAGCACAGCACCACGTGGCCATCATCATCCCACACCGCAACCGAGAGAAGCATCTGCTGTACCTCCTGGAGCACCTCCACCCCTTCCTGCAGAGGCAGCAGTTGGACTACGGCATCTATGTTATTCACCAGGTGAGGCAGAGATGTGTTTGGGGGTGATGCTCTGCAGGCCAAGGAGAGTGGCTTTGCTGCTGCTTCTGCTGGCTAACATCAGTCCTCCGAGTCTGTTTCCAACACTTGCTGAGGGATGCAGTGGTGCATGCAGCCACTGCTGCTGCCACTACAGGATCTCAGCTGCTGTTAGCAAAGCTGGGAAGAATTAAGAGTGTTTTCAGCTGGTGTCCGTTTCTCAGTCTGAGCGACTTACTATTTCTAACTTAGCATTCAAGGTTAGCATCTTTCCCATTACTAATGTAACTCACTTCTCCTGCAGCATACACACAGTAACTACGCTGACATGTTTTCTGTCTTTTCGTTTGGAGTTGTTTGGATCGAAGGCTTCAGTTTGTATCCAGCTCTACTTTCCCATCTGCTCGCTGGCTGTCATGTGTGGTAAGCTGTGTGTTGTACTTACTTCTGCCAGCTCAAACCAGACATGACAGCTACTGCTTGTAGGTGCTTTACTTGCCCAGCAAGGGCTGTGGGCAGAAGTAGTCATGATGGAGCACTTGGTTCCTGAGAGATTTACTGATTTATTTGCATTCTTTCTAGTGGTGAGCCAACAGCTAACATTTGAGCATAGAGATTTGTGCCGTGTCGGTTTTCATCTAAGATATAGATTTCTCTTTCGTAATATGTTGTCTTTTTCTTGATCTTTCATTGTTTGCTTTCTCTTGCTCTCATTTACTTACATGCTCTGCCTTGAGTCTAAACAGATTTTTCAGACAGCAGGAGGAAAAGGTGATAAATCAATAGAGTTTCTCTTCCCTTCTGTTCAAAGAGTCAATCAGCCAGCATGAGGCAGTGCATTCGAGGTGAAAGCCTATGCTTCTGCTCAATGGCACAGCAGAAGAGCAACAAAAGTCGTGGCAGGATATATACTTTCAGTTGGAGTAACTAGTCCTCCCTTGTTTAGAGTTCTCATGTGGCCCATAGAGTGGAGAAACTGAGGCTTTTTCCTGCCTTAGTGTGTGTTGTAATCATGCACATAATGGCTCACTCCAGCTGCCAAGCAGTGGTTAGCATTAAGTTACCAGAGAATCATGGAGTGGTTTGGGTTGGAAGGGACCTTAAAGCTCATCCAGTTCCAACCCCCTGCCATGGTTGCTCCAAGGCAGGTTGCTCCAAGCCTTGTCCAACCTGGTTCTTTATCTACTGAACTCTGTGAGGTGGAGAACAGCTGATGGCATATAACAAAAAGAAATACAGAGGTATGAAAGCTCTGTCTGATATGAGCAGCAGTGTCAAGTCTGGACTTGTTCTATCAGAGCTTTTACATTGAAGATTAGAAGCTTTGGTTTCCCCTTTCCATGTAGAGGGACATGCCCAAAACTGAGAAGTGGGTCTAACAAAGCTCTTTGATGGCAAATTCATTTTCAGTCTCCATTTGTGACGTCATTATTGGTTTTAAGTATCTTTTGAGGAAAGAAATAGTTAAAACTAGGATTTAACTATTAAAATACACAGAGTTTACCTGGGAGGAAGATTAAGAAATAGGTCTTCTGTATTTCTGCGTGCCATTGAAGGGCATACTCCAACTCTATGAGCTAATTGTAAGATCTTGAACATCATGTTTCTCTGCACAAATGTGTGCATAGGTGAGGGGACTGCTGGAAAAAAAGTGAGTTCATAATCCCTGAAGAGTGAGTAATGTATTTCCCAACGTAAGTTTGTCTTGTGGTTGGTGTTCTCCTCCCGTAGAAACAAAGGAGGACAATTCTTTTCTCAGTAAAAGATGAGAGTAAACTTTGCTATTTGTTCAGTGTGAGGTCTAACATGGAAAACTCCCTTCCTGGACAGTCATTTTAGCTGTTGTTTGGCTGCCTTTGCACGGGAAGTGGGCAAAGGGAGGAGAGACATAACTGGAGCAGATGGTCTGCACTTCAACTGCACTTGATACCAAACACAAGTGGAGTTCTCTGCGTGTTCTTTGTCAGTCATCTGAATTGTTCTGTTCATTCAAATAGCCTGTTTCCATCATCAGGAGAAGATTCTCTGATGGATGCTTTCATATACAGCACGCAATAAAACAAAGAACCAAAGAAACACACAAAACCCCTCAGTCAGAAATTTGACCTCATACAGTTTAGGGGAATTTTATCTAATTTTTTTCTTGGAGAATTCCTTCCCTGACTCAGAATGGAAGCAACTGATGATCCCTCTGTTCATTTCTCAGAGTAGGCACTGGGCTGGATCTCCCTAACTGCAGGTATGGAGCCATAAAACCCATAAATCTTCTTTGTTCAGGAGTAGATGGTTGTTAGTGATGGTGAACAAATTGCTGCTTCAGAGCAGAGCATTAATTTATAGAACAGTAAAACACTCTTTGTTTACAACTCTTTTCCCTCCACTTAACCTTCTTTCAGCCTGGGGAGGCCAGATTCTCTCTCATCTTCCACTTAGCCTCTCGTAGTCCAGGCACCTTCTAGCAAATGACTCCTTTCTCTTGAAAATTGCTTTTTATCTTTCAAGTACATCAAGTTCCCAGCTCTAGAAAATCATAGAATCACAGAATGGTTTGGGTTGGAAAGGACCATAAGATCATCCAGTTCCAACCCCCTGCCATGGGCAGGGACACCTCACACTAGACCACGTCACCCAAGGCTCTGTCCAACCTGGCCTTGAACACTGCCAGGGATGGAGCATTTACCACTGGGCACCCTGTGCCAGCACCTCAGCACCCTCACAGTAAAGAACTTCTTCCTTATATCTATCCTGAACTTCCCCTGTTTCAGTTTGAACCCATCACCCTTTGTCCTATCACTACAGTCCCTGATGAAGAGTCCCTCCCGAGCATCCTTCAGACACTGGAAGCTGCTCTGAGGTCTCCATGCAGCTTCTCTTCTCCAGGCTGAACAGCCCCAACATTCTCAGCCTGTACAAGACTAGTAAAAGCCAAGTGAAGCCCCGTTCTAGCGGGAGTCCCTGTGCAGCGTAATAATTAGGTTATAGACAGGAGTTAGAAATGAAGAGACCTGCTTTTTATTTCCCGCTCTGCCACCTACTGTGTGAACTGAGGAAATACAGTGAAGTCCTCAGGCATTGCTGTCCTCTGAACTGCAGAACAAGCATATGAATCGTCTGTGGCAGGTGCTCTGATGTGGATAAACTAATAAGAATGGGAGTAATGTGTTTTGGGTTTGGCTTTTTTAAACACCTTCCATAAGCTTTGCTGACACATTGTTTGGGGCACCAGTTTCTAAGCTGTTTACTGACACCTCTTTTGTTACATAGCCGTATGGGAACAGCAATAGTAGTGAGATTGTGTCATGCAGGGTGCATACTCCTGGTGCCCAGACAACCACAGACTCTCCTGGCCCTGGCTCTGTTTGTTCATGACAAGCAGAGATGGAAGAAGCTCCCTGTGTCAGCGGCCACTGTGGAGCTGTAGCCAGTGCTATGGGGCAGCCCCATGTGTGATTCCTGGCTGGCAGGGCGGTGGTGCACGGAGGTGATTGTCAACTGTGTGATCAAAACAAGTATCTGGGAGCAGCTCTGGTTCTAAAGGTTTGACACCTTCTTCAGAGGTTTTCTCCATTCTCTTCCACAGGCTGGCAGCACCAAATTTAATCGTGCTAAGCTGCTGAATGTAGGATACCTAGAGGCCCTAAAAGAAGCTAACTGGGACTGTTTCATTTTCCATGATGTGGATCTGGTGCCAGAAAATGACTTTAACATTTACACGTGTGGCCCCGGACCAAAGCACTTTGTAGTTGGCAGGAACAATACTGGATACAGGTAGGAAACCAGGCATATGGAAAGAATACCAACTGGGAAATGCCATGTTACTGATAATGTTCCTCTTCTGATGGAGCTCTGTGCTGTATCTACCCCTCCTCCTGACACCAGCTTTCTGGTGGTAACACTTCATCTCTCTGGAGTGCCCTTGACAAAAGAGAACTGTATGGGCATCTCTTAAGTCAGCCCCATGGTCACCTGTACAGGTGATCATTGTCATCCTTCTGGTTTCTGGGGTGAGGTAAGGGGTGTTCCAAGAAGGAAGAAACATGCCAGAGGTTGTGCAGAGACCTTCTGTTGAAGCTAGAAATGCATTTGCACTTTGATTTGAGGGTGTGATCTTACCATAGAAAAACTTACTACTTGCCTTTTGCTGTTGAAGAGGGAACATCTGATATGGAAAGCTCAGGCATGAGAGCTTGCCCAGGGACAGAGTTGTATTTAAGGACGTGGATGGGCAGTGTCTCATACAGGATCATTCTGGGTTTGAAATGGGTGCCCTAAGTGACAGGGTGATGTGAAAAGTCAGATTCAGGCCACCTCAGAGAAGAAAAGGCTCCTGAGTTTGGTGAGTTTAATGACCAGGGTGTTTCCATTGAACTTGTTTCTTTCAAGATTTACCTCCTCTGTCATGTCATCTCAATATTAAATCGAAGTGGGCTTTTCAAAAGCTGCTCTCTGTGTACTTTCAAGCAAAGCTCTGCTTTACTTCTGGGTTTCCTTTCTTAAATACATGAGAGAGAGGTGGGGTGTGCAAATTCTTATGCAGAATACCATCCACTTTCCAGTCATTTAGTGCAAACTGGAACAAGCACATATGTACTAGGCTTGTGACAGGCTTTTGGAGCACTCTGCCTTGCAGACAGAATGCTGAGGGCTATGGGATGGTCAGTGCACCAAAGCAACAGAAACACTGCTTTGGTTAATGGACAGGCATGTAGAATCCAGGCTGATAACATGGCATGATGCTTGAGGTGCTTTACTTAACCTCCTGTGCCTCAGGTTTACTGCAAGTGTGCTGCTTAGTGAAGTGGATGGATTCTTGCTTTTACTGCAGGATCCTCTTACTATGGATTTCCTCAGGTTTGTTCTGCTTGTGGAAAGGAACTGTTAGTTATAGGTTTGGCTTTAAAGAGTACTTAAAAGAGTACTTTAAAGAGTATAAAGCTTTAAGCTTTGGCTTTAAAGGGTACAGACAAAAAGTTGTTGTGAATACCCTGCAGCAGTATTCACTGGGGTACTGGTGGTTTGAGTTTCATACTTTCTTTCCTGTGTCACTGCCTCTGTTTACCCATCCATGGAGTGGGGATAACAGCACTGTATTTCCAAAGGAATTCCTGGGTACATCTGAGGGAATTCAGATCCTGAACTCAAGAATGATACCTGAACTGAGCTGAGACCTGGGGTTGAAATCCCAGTTGGGGGACCTCAGTGTTTTGCTTAGGCTGAGGTGAGCATACTGAGAAACATCACTTAGGTGTATGGAAGTTGTACATGTCGTGCATTAACACACAACATCCTGGGCAGGAATGTGGGTGCATCATCTATGGTGATGCAGTGTATGGTAATCTTGGCAACTTTGGAGAAGTCAGTACCTTATGTTTAGCTACACAAACTGCAGGTTTGGATCCTTCAGCAAGGAAGGTTTATATACTAAAACTTTGAAGGTGGTCATATACTGGAACAGGCTCCTCAGAGAGGTTGTGGAGTCTCCGTCCTTGGAGATGCTCAGAACCTGAATGGACGTGCTCTTCAGTGACTTGCTGTAGCAGAGGGGTTGGACTGCTTCATCTCCAGAGGCCCCTCAACCTCTGCAGTTCTCTTGTGATGCTATGACAGGAGCACAAATCAGCCAACAAAACTGGTCTGAGGGAGGTTGTGTATGGTGTGGGGTTTGGTTTCTTTGTTGTTTTGTGCGTGTGTGTTTAAATTAGGTTCCTGGTAAACCAGAAATAGCAATAAGCATCACGCCTTTGCTCGCCTGGCATGTAAATTGTCATCAGGGATGTTTTCTAGCCCTGGCAATTTGTTCACCCGTTTGGATTCACACCCACCTAGCAATCCAAACACAACTGCAGCCATGTGCACATCACCTCTGGCAGTGGCAATGTAGTAGGGGCTGTGTTGTACTGCTCATCTTAAGGGCCCAGAAAGAGGAGGGTATCATAAAAAGCAAGGAGCAAAATGGTGTAAGAAGATAAACAACATGGTATGTAAATACCTTTCAGAGCAGCTGCAGTTCCCAGGACAAGGAAGGTAGAAGCCTGAACTGAAACTCCTTTAGAGCTGAGCAACATTACAATAGGTTACTTAGCAGCTCACACTGTACCTTACCTTGGAGTTGTTCCTGCAGTATCCCAGGGCACGTGTCTGTGACCTGTTTTCATTCCAGGTTTCCCAGCTTCAGCTCCAAGGTAGTCAGTGGCTTCTGTCATTATTGCAGAGCTTCTGTTACGTGAGTCTGTGGCTTCGTTCTTTTTGTACTTATGGGGGTCCTTGAGGTGAAGTGCTCTTTGCCTGGCAAGGGGAGTTGTGTGAAGAGGGAAACTGTTGAAGAAGGAACTGTTCTCTCAGTTGGAGAGTTTAATCTTTCTGGCCTAGAGCAAATCACCATCTTCTTGTGAAAAGAGGAAGACAACCAGAGCAACCTCATGGGTTTGTGCACCCTCAACTCTGTGAAAGACATATCTAAATCCAGAGCTTAGGCAGACAATCCAGAGTTTCAGGGTGAGGTTTTCATTGTTGGTAGAATTTGACTTTTAATTCTTCATTCTCTCCTCTTGTGTACTTCTAGGTTACGGTACAAAGGATATTTTGGAGGTGTAACTGCTCTAACAAGGGATCAGTTTGCCAAAGTCAATGGATTCTCTAACAACTACTGGGGATGGGGTGGAGAAGATGATGACCTACGAATCAGGTAAAAAGTCAATCAGGTGCAGGATGTGCAGTTCTGTGCACAGTTTCCTCTTTGCAAAGGATGGGCATGCCTGAGACCTAGTCCTCTCCCAGACAAGTATTGCTGGTTGGGTGGGGGCTTTGTTAGGTCTTGGGTTGGGGTTCTTTTGGGTTGGGTTGGTGTTGTCTCAGCCACACAGGATTTGCATTGTCACTTGGAGATTGGTTATAACAGAAGCAGGGATGTTGAAATCTGGAGGGTGGTTTGCCAAAGAGACACAAATGTATTCAGCTCCAGTGCTTTGTAAGAGTGTGGGAGGGGTTTGGTTTGGTGGGATTGGGTGTTTTTGCATTCATTGACTACCATGATTTACTCCAAGCACAGCTTCATTTGTATGTGGGTGGTGTTGATTTTAGTTAACACAGTGAATAGCTTGAATTTTAGAAAGACTGCCTGTATTTGGATGTGCCTTTTGTTCTTGTGAAATCCAGGTTTGCAGATGGGCCTTTCAAAGCAGGGAAAACCTGTCAGGTTGAGAAGTTGGATGGCACAAAGGACTTAGCCAAACTTTGCTGGTGATCTTTTGCCCTTTGCTTAGAAGGAAGCCTCTAATTCTGCATTGCTGTTAGTGAAGGAAAGGGAAGGGGCCAAACAGAAAACAAACCCAACAGGAATAAACCACAACCCCCTAAGCTCTGCTGGCAGAACATGTCGATTTCTAACTTAAGTGTACATCATTCTTCAAGGTTTATCCTTTTCAGTTGCTTAAATATGCAACCAGCCATTTTGGGGACATAAAGTCATCTCCCTGGTGATGTTCAGTGATTACACTGATGAAATCAAGTGTGTGAAGAGTTAGGAACTTCCAAATGGAAGTTTTCCTTTGTATCAGGCAGCTGTACCTCAAGAAATCTAAAAGGGCTACTGGAGACCTGGATTTCTGTCCCTTCTTTATCACAGCTGTTTTTTTTCTCCCTACTCCTATTTAGAGACACCAACCTCTCTTGGGAGCTGGCTTTTATAGTGGTAGGGCATAGCTTGATACCATCTCATGCCCCACCTTTCCAAGAAGCGTCCCAGTTAAGGTGCAAACAAAGGTGATGGTGGTGTTGCTGTGGGCAGCAGAGCAGCAGGATTTGCTGAGTGTCTCCAACACTGTTTGCAAGGGGTTGGAATCAGAAGTGATGCTCACTTGTGTAACTCTAGTTGTTGAGGTCCTGGTGTAGAAACCAAATCGCATGACCCAGAGTGCACGCAGGACTTGCCTCATGCCTTTCCTCTTGGGTGGATCTTGGACTGGGCAGGTTACAGAGTCTGCAGTGGGGCTGTCCCGGTGAGTTTATGTGCAGGGATCTTGCAGCCTTCCCCAGCAAAGGCAGCAGATGGCACCATCTCCTTCAGTATCTTGAAGAACTCTGAATGCTCTCAGGTTCTCCTGTTCTGAGTATGGTGGGCCCCTTCCAAAGCTGTGCATCACCAGGAGGCATTTCAGATCATTTGTTGTATTTATTTGATATTTTACTGCTACAAACAGTCATTGGAAACATGTCAGGGGCTCAATTTCTTACAGGCTGGATCCATGGGCTGTGGCTAATAGTATGAGGTTCAGCAAGGCAAAGTGTCAGGTCCTGCACTTGGGCCACAACAACCCCCTGCACTGCTCCAGGCTTGGGGCAGTGTGGCTGGAAAGCTGCTCATAGAAAAGGACCTGGAGGTGCTGATTGACAGAGCTGAACATGAGCAGCTTGTGCCCAGGCAGCCAAAAAACCACCAACATCCTGGCCTGTATCAGCACCAGGGTGGACGCAGCGTCCGGGCGGGG